CATTTCCTTGTGTAGGATTAAGGAAATTGGTATCAGAGTATCTGAATCTCATGAAGCACCCTGCATTCAGCGCCCGACCCTCGGACCATGGCAAGCATCCCAAGATAGATGCAGATGCATTCTCCAAACAAGCTCTGCAATATTCATCACCAAGTGTCCTCCAGCAGTCAACAAGAACATAAGCCGACTCATTTGCTGTCCCTGACACGGGGACTTGTGCTCGTGCATAGAAATAGTTTTTTGGCGCTGCTGAAACTACTTTTTCAACAGCCTGCCTTACAGAAACCCGAAATGCGGAGTTTTTTTGCGTTCTATTACCACAGAGAACCCTATCATTTGGTCCAGTATACTCTTGAAAGAAACTATAATTCTCAGCTCTCATGAAGCAGCCATCGAGGAAAATCCTTCCACCGTTGGAAGGAAAGCACTGAGGAAGAATAGCGCGTGCTTCAGCATAGCATAACGCACATTCATGTAAAGAAAGATCACCATAGCAGTCTGCTAGTGCATAATTAGTGTCGGGTCCTGAGCTCGTTACTGCCATACCATATCCCGAGGTTTGCATTTGCGGGCTTATTTTTTCCATTGTGTCGACAAAGGTCGTGATAGAGATGGAGGTGTTGTGAGTAAATTGTTTCCCACAGACCATATAAACTATCTGAGCTCTTGGATCTCCAAATGCTGCATCTGGGACTGGTAGTACCAGATTAACCAGAATAAAAGTGATAACAGGTTGACAAGCAATGAATTTCTTCATTTTCCAATTTGTTCAGTTAAAAACTGACAAAAATAAAGGCTCTAATAGAAATCAAGAAAGAGGCTCATACTTACTGTGAATTGTGACTGGAACAACAGAATTGAGAAATCAAACCTTAACAATGGAACTGATTTCAAATTGAGAGTTTCACTGTAAAATGTTTAGTTGGAGCTGATTTCATTTGAGTCAATATAATGGTCTATGGAGACTACACGATCCATTCGAGACAAAAATAATGTGTATCGATTTTCAATTATTGTATTTAATTATTGGTAAGCCACTTACCTTGACATGTTACATCATACATGTGAAACTTCTCTTTGCTACCTATTGGAAGAAGGAATAAACAAATAAATTCGCTGTGGACACTCCAAACTTGTCAACAATTGAAACCTAAGAATATTCAAGGAACCCAAAGTTGACTACCTGTTTCTGAGATTGAGTCTTATACTGCAATCTTTTCACGTTAGGATTCTTGACTTTTAATCTTGAATTTTGTCTCATTTGATTCTTTAATTCTTGTTCTTAATTTTGTATCTTGATTCATAGTCTTGATTGTTGAATTCCTTCATCATTATTCTTGATTGTGGATTGCATGTTCTTGATTGTGAATTTTAGATCTTCACTTTCAATATGTTTTTTCTTGTATTCTTGTGTTGATGTGATAACATAAATTGGGGATCATAATCATATTTGTATTTTCTTCAGTATGAAAGCAAATGGCCAATATTTAGCCCTTGTTTGACAATTATTAAAATCAGTTTTTATTGTGGGGTCAAAATTAACTTACAAGTGTTTTTTTATGGATTGAACCCTAATTTGCTTAG